TTTCTGTAGCATATAACAAACCAGGGATAGACAATACCCGTCTTTGGACCACCACATGTTGATAGAATGAGGCAATGAACTGCAGTATAAAAATCACAGCTTGAGCTCCACAAAAAGAGTTATATAACATGCTGTCAATTATGATTTAGAACTCGAGTATCTAGCATTGGAACACAACCATGCATAGATAAAGCAATTAACTTCAAGTTTTGGAGGTGCTAGGAAAACTATTGAATGTTAGCTCCTAAAACACTAGAGACTTTGATGGAATCAATTAAACTTAACAAATGTATCAAAACTAAACAAAAATAAACCTGAGAACTTTTTGATAGCTCGAGACCAAAGTTGAACGATGGACTCAAAGGGCTGCTTGATCCCACTCCATAACCGATTGCACAACTCCAATTCTTTAAATTTCTGTATTTTTGACCTTCTTTACTCCCATCTAAAAAGAATTAATCAACAAGATTTACATTTGAAATAAAATTGTATTAAGATCCTTTTAACATATAAATAAGCAACATCAAAAGAAGACAAAAGAACTTCATTCAATCGTTCAGGGCCAAAGGCTCCAGTTATGAGAAGGCATATGAGTGGCTTACATTCAGGCTCATACTGCACCCCGGCTGTTAGTCTTCCCATCTTGCTCACCAACCATGCCCTTCTTGGACATTCATCTTTCACTGCAGAAAAAGATAGTTACATAGCACACAAAGTTTTCACTGCACCTAGTAAGTGCAGATAGAAATGATGACTTCAGAGTTCTCTCCCCTTCTAAAATTCAGATGATGCAAAATTGCAATCACGGGTTATTAGAGGAGTTGATAACATCTTAATTCACATCCTTACGAGATAAACTTGATAGCTATGCCATAATTTAGATATTACCAAAAATTAACTGAATGTTCAGAACAACAACACTGGTAAGTATAACTCATGGGAAAAAAAAAACCCATAAAATTGAAATTCAGGTTACATACTGGAGAAAGGCATGGCTGTGGCGCCAATTGACAAGTTTGTGGAGCCATATCTCAATCCCATAACACCAAAGTCTTCAGAAGTTATTCTGCAAGAGTAGTGAGCTCTGTAAATATTATACATTCATGTGTATGTGCACCAACTATCCCAAAAGTCATTTGGAATTTTTATTAAAAGGTTTTTACCTTTTTTTCAGCAGCATTGGGAAAATTCCAAACGCTCCAAATCCATATTTAGGGTAGTAAGCACAGGCCCTCATCTGCAAAGTCCTAAAGTGACAGAAAGTATGGCAATATATAAGTAAATAACATGGCTCTGGATATGAAAAACCGAGAAATTAAAAGAAAAAAAAATGACACTTCAGAGAGATGTTCCTTACGGATCAGTATTCGATACAAAGAGGTCCATGAATGTATGAGGATCATCAACATCACTGCTCAATGAAACAAGCATTACGAAATTGTTTATGTCACTACATGTACGTCCAACTTATCGCCCAGAAAAAAGGCAATTCATGTACAATGGGAATCTGAATCTACTTCAAAGTACCTTTGCCAGCGGAAGAAAGCATTTCCAACAATACTCTCCTCGGGTTTGTGATCAAGTGGTCCTGAAACCTAAACATGTTAAGGAAAACGGGAAGATATTTCCCGTGGATTCAAACCATCAACTTTGAAATTTCAGATTCAGCTAAATCACGAAGGATACAGTTGCAACCAAATCGACATGAGGATCATCTATGGGCTTTAGCATGATCATTGTGCTAAAATGCCTTGCTTGTTCAAAATAATCGTCAAACAGACATTTCAAAGCAAGCTTCCCAAACAACAAGTCATATGAAGACTCCAACATCCTGCATCGAAATTACTCACAATATAAAACAATATTTTGAAAATATATATACATAACAATTTAATTGCAGAAAATCAAATGCTGGCCAATTTCAACCAGGAGTGGTATTCATAAGCAAGCAGTGAAGACCAGTATTCAACATAGCTAAGGGCTTATGCACTGGCAAAAAGAGCCTTGTGCTAAAAAATTGAAATGAAATATAATGAGTCGAGAATGGGAGCATAGGAGGTGTAATTAGAGCAGAACCTGGTGCGGGCTGCGAGAGGAGGAAAGTCGAAGAGAGGTGGGACCAGCACCATAGGCGGTGGTGGCTCCTTGTTCATCAAGTTCCCCATATCTATCTGCTTTGCTTTGCTAACAATGTCAATGCTAGGGTTTCCGAGTATTGAATGGATACATAGACATGGAAGATGAGGAAGAAGAAGAAGAAAACAGTGAAGAGATTGTTGCTTGTTACTTGTGATTCCGTTTTTAGGAGCGAAAGTTGCGAGATTGGCTTCACTTTACCAAAAAAATATTAGAAAATGAAATTACGAAACCGCGCCCGCGCATATCTCCACTCTAAACTGCAGAGGAAAAGGCTCAAGCCTCGATGACCGTTTCAACGCTCCCACCTACGTGGCAGGTCCAGGTGGTACTCCAAACTCTTCAAGTGACACGTCATTCAAAAACCCCAAAGTTCACTTTTTCACTTCTCTTGGGCCTCCAATGAGGACCAGAGGGCCCAACACTCATTAACATCTTGGAAGAAAACTCATTAAGGCCTGGAGCCCATTGGCCATTATTAACTTTATTTATTTATTCAATAGAAAGGATATTAGGAAAATAGGAAATCAAACGCAAGTGCTCGTATTAGTTTGGGATATGACTAACTCCTTAAGCTACAAATCTCTTGCGATTATGAATAAATTTTAGAAAGTAAATATTGTACATACAATGTCATTAAATTTCTATAAGAAGAAAAAGATATAAAAGTTATGTCGCAGTTTAAAGTTTAAGTTTCATAAAATAAAATAAAAACCCAAGTGTTTTCTTTATATTCACTCATTTTATTACTTATGTTACCCAACCCAAACGCTAATGAATTTTAGGCTACGTAAAATCAAGCAACTCATGTCATTTCAATCATTTTCTAATGAAACAAAACTAGCCTAAACAATGTTCCAATTCCATTCAATTGTCTTTGTCCTTATTGAATTTTTTCGGTGCAGCTTACTGCTTTTGTTTGGCCTCAAACTTCAAAAAAGGTTCCTCTTGACTCTAGAGTTGTCTTGCTAATTAATTTAAAGACAAGTTTTGGACGGCGATTACAATTAATTTTTGTCTCAATTTATCTTTTTGAGTGACCTAAAGACACGTCAAAAAAAGTGGACCATACAAAAGACACGTCATTACTTGACGGATTTTCTGTCAATCAACTTAACAAAAAGCTTAAATTTGTCAGATTTGAAAACAATTGGTGTAAATTGATGAAATTGAAACTTAGGAGTCCATATTGAGAATGACCCCAAACCTTGAGGAGGTCTTTTGAGGGAGCTTCTACAATGAATAGTTTAGAGTGATGAGCTTATTTGAGGGATTCAATCTTACCATCAAACCATTTAAAGTGTTTAAGTCCATTGATTTTCTCGCATTTGTTGATGATGGGATTAAACTTCTCAAATAAGTTCCTCACTCTAAACTCCTCATTATTCTCTTTTCGGTCTTTTGATGTTAGCCCAATAAAATAAAAACCCTAGTGTTTTCTTTATGTTCACTCATTTTAGTATTTATGTTACCCAACTCACACGCAAGTGAGTTTTAGGTTATGAAAAATCAAGCAACTCATGTCATTTCAATCATTTTCTAATAAAACTAAACTAACCTAAACACATGATGTTCCCTTTCCATTCATTCATTTTTGTCCCTATCGTATTTTTTCGGTGCATCCTACTGCTTTTTTTGGCTTCAAAGAAGGTTCCTTTAGACTCTAGAGTTGTCTCGCTAATTTAAAACAAGTTTTGAACAGTGATCAAAATTTATTTTTGTCTCTATATCTCATTTCGAGTGACCTACCACGTAAAAGAAGAGAAAAACACAAAAGGGCATTGAATCCGTCACATGGAAAGTTATTCAGCATGTTAAGTTCGAACCCATGATTAAATATAAGGAAGTATATTATAAAATGACCTAAAATGTCAATAATGATGTATAGAATTCCAATTTGAGTTTGTTTCCTAACGAATGGGATTCCGTGGTATACATTGTTACGGTCCCACTTGAACAGTTCGACTAGGTTTCTATTTGCACGTAGATGTTAACAAAATGAGACCCCACCCACCAGTCCACCGCTTTTCTTTTTTTTTTCCTTCCACTTTGGGTGGCCAATCCATGATCACTTTTTAAAGATTATGATCTAGTGGCTCCAATTTCTCATAAATACACCACGAACCTGTCTTATATTTTTCCCTAACCTTTTTTGACCAAGCTAAAGTTGATCAACTGCCTCCTCAGCTTTTGAATGGACAAAAAACGCTATACAAACTCATTACAATTAGCCACCGACTTAAATTATTAAACAACACTGATTTTGCCAATTAATTCCAACTAATTTTTATTATTTTATTTAATGACCATTTAACAAGATTTTGGTTTTTCAAAGGAAAAACAGAAAGAAGAAAATAAATTATACTACCAACCACTCTTGCCTTCTTGTTTACCGTTTTCTATTGCATAGTGGAATGTTATGGTCCAACTCCGAAAGAATCATTTCATTGTCTTGTCTATTCTTAACTTTTATATTCAAATGGTTCAATGGAAAAAAATAAATAAAAAAGCTCTCCCATTTTTAGCTAGGGTTTAGTAATGAAACTCAAAATTGTATTATTAACCCTTTCATTTCTAGTGGATCACTTATATTAGAAGTCGATAATGATTAAACTACAAGTACGAATTTTTTCTAATACAACATTCTAAATAATATTAGGAAGTTCCTCATATTTTGAGTTCTCTATATGTTTATATTTCACATCGAGAGCTAGATTTTAATTTAGAATTTTTCAAATAAAGTGTAGAGAAATTTTCAAATCATGATTTTTATTTATTATTTTTAGTTGAACACAATTTTTATTGTTTATATTTTGGCTGAATAACAATATTTAATGGTTAATGGTATAATGGTATATGTTAATATTAAATTAATAATCAGGTAACCGTTATTAATGAGGACAAAGAATGAACAATCTCAGCACAAAAAAACAAAAAAGGTAAAAGGAAGGGGATGGCTGCACATAAGGAAAGTATGGCGCGAAGTTCGACGATGGTTCTCTAGCTACAAAAAGCTTCAAGCTTGGGCGTTGAATCTCGTGAATGTAGGGAATCTTTCCTCCTCTTCATCTTTCTCTTTTCCAATCGGTAATCTCATAATTCTGTTCTTATGTTCAAAATCTATTTGTTTCTTTTGGGTTAGATTCATTCCTTGAAAAGCAGCAAGGCCCAAATTCAGATACGTTTCGTCTGTCACTCTGTATCAAGAGTGTCTGAAATACTTGGTTAGAACAATCTCTGTAAGTACTGAGGTTCAACTGTTTGGTTCTACGTTTTCAATGGGTTCTTGAATATGCCAATATGGTGTGGGCTTGTCTAAATTCAAAACTTTTTTGGTGGGTTATTGAATCTGGGTTTTGTTCATCAGTATGCTGATATGTTCAGTTTTCATTTTTGTTTCTTCTTTTTGTTTTTGGGTGAAATAACTTTCTCGGTTGCACGTTTTGAGTAATGACACCTCTGCTTAGATGATGGGTGGCTGTTTTCCTGGTGATCAAAATTTCTGGTTAATTCAAATCATAAGTTCTGCTTAATCCAGCTGTTTTATTTCTTCTCTTTTGTTGCACTTCTTTTTACTAGTTTTGGGATGTTTTTTATTTTTGGCTAGATACAAAACGGGATCTAAAAAGTGTCAACCTTGTCCTTTTTATATACATCTTTGCTGATGATGAATCAGCTTATAATTTTAGTTCTTTGGTTAGTAGGTTCGTTTTACTCTTTTTTTTCTTTCCAGTTCTATGATGATCAGAATGTGTGTAAATTTTATATTATTTTTCTAGATACAACAAGATACAGATTCCTAGTTACAGTAGCTGATATTGTTTGCTTCCCATAATCTTGTTAACCTACAGAAAGATTGCAATGACAACTTGTTTACCTGCTGGAAGTGGCAAACTGCATTATAGGGTGAGGGACTTCAAGGGACAAGGTTGTAGAAAGGCTTCCTGGGTTTCCAGTGTGACATTCAGTGGAAACATACATAAAGAGCTTTCGTGGTATGGGACCTGATTACTGCCTTGGTCCTGTAGTTAATTTATATAAGACGTTTGCTTTGTTTTTTCATGTACAAAACTCCACATTCTTCTGAAGTTGATGTCCCTGCTGGTCCACCATATAGATCTTTTTATGCCACACTTATGCTTTATTCCACAATTATCCAGGTCAGCTGGGGCATCAAAGTTCTTGCAGATCCAGAGATGTAACTTTTCTCAATGTCCAATTAATGAGAACTCAAAGTCCTTAAGAACAGTCACTGTATCAAGCCTGAGAGATGATTCCACTAAGTTTTTTGATTTTGCCGTTATTGGTAGTGGAGTTGCTGGCCTTCGTTATGCTCTTGAAGTGGCAAAACATGGATCTGTTGCCGTGATTACCAAGGCTGAGCCTCACGAGAGCAATACAAACTATGCTCAAGGTGGTGTTAGTGCTGTGTTGTGCCCTTCGGATTCTGTGGAGAGTCATGTACAGGATACAATTGTAGCAGGGGCTTATCTCTGTGACGAGGAGACTGTCAGAGTATGTTATTGGACTTTTAAGTTGACACAAATAAGTTGCAGATGATAATTGATTATTGTCAATAAGTTGCAGATGATAAATGATTATTGTGATATTTTGTCCAGGTTGTCTGTACAGAAGGACCTGAAAGAATTAGAGAATTAATTGCAATGGGCGCATCATTCGACCATGGGGAGGATGGAAACTTGCACTTAGCAAGAGAGGGGGGTCATTCTCATCACAGAATTGTTCATGCTGCTGATATGACTGGAAGGGAGATTGAACGGGCTCTGTTGGAGGCAGTTCTTAAGGATCATAATATCTTCATGTTCGAACACCATCTTGCAATAGATTTGCTAACTTGTCAGGTTTACTTTTTCCTCATGCTTTGTTTGTGAAAGTGTGTTTCACTTGCTCCTGCACAAATTGGCTTTGGTGGATTGACTTTCAGAAAGGCAACTAGGTTCTATCATAGTATTAACTCTAACACACACCTAGGAACTAAGTGAAAGCTTTGGTGGTCTAAATTAGCTCCATGCTGATTTGATATAGTTAAAATTGATTGTAGGAATTGTATGAATTCTTTTCTGTTTTTTACTAACAGAAAAATGTATTTCTGGCAATACAGGATGGTTCTGACACAGTTTGTCTTGGTGTTGACACTTTGAATACAGAAACACAAGAGGTGACTACAATTTGCCGCATATTCTCTTTAAGGTTTTGTAGGGGAATATTTTGCTAGAATCCATCATCTTCCTTGCCTTTGTCCGTTAATGGAAACATATATCCGTATTTGTTTACAAAATTCCCTTATTTTGCACTTTCAGGTGATACGATTTATTTCAAAGGTGACTTTACTTGCGTCAGGTGGGGCTGGGCAAATCTATCCGACAACTACAAATCCTCCGGTACTTAATGTTTTTGAAGTACCCCTGTAATTTTTTTTCCCTCTGTATATCCTTGAACAAAGATGCAATTCCTTATTTGAGTAGTTAAGAGACAAAATTGAGTGATTGTAGAAAAATATAATCAGAGAATGATTACCTGTTTTATCATAAGTAAAATACTCTATCTGATTGCTTGTGATTTATTCTTATAGGTGGCCACAGGGGATGGAATTGCTATGGCTCATAGAGCTCAAGCTGTGATTTCCAACATGGAGTAAGTAAACATACATCACTAATCTGATTATTTTTTTTGAGGAAAAAAAAACTGTGTTGCAAATCTTGGTTAATTGATTATGCGAGACAATCAAAGGGCCATTTCAAAAATTTTGTACAAACATTACAACTTTGTTCCATAGCGCTTCCGCTCACAAGTTTTTCTTCTAGTATGGTTCAAACTTATAATACTCTGCTGGTGCCCAAACTGGCAAATTAGTTTTGAATGATCCTCCAGTGGCAAAACCCATGTTGTCATGATTTGTAAGGGTGGAACTTGATATTGGATAAGCTAGCTTTAAGTGTAATATTGAAGGCTTTTGAAATTGTTAGCTATCCCCCTTTTATGTTTTTATGGTTTGTTTTTCTTCCACAGGTTTGTTCAGTTCCATCCTACAGCCTTAGCTGATGAAGGCCTTCCTGCCAAACCTACCAAGGCTCGAGAAAATGCATTTCTCATCACTGAAGCCGTCAGGGGTGATGGAGGCATCCTCTACAATTTAGACATGGAAAGGTTCATGCCACTCTATGATGAACGAGCAGAACTTGCTCCCAGGGATGTGGTGGCAAGGGGCATAGATGACCAGCTTAAAAAGCGTAATGAAAAGTATGTGCTACTTGATATAAGTCACAAGCCGAGGGAAAAAATTATGTCACACTTCCCCAACATAGCAGCTGAGTGCCTTAAGTATGGCTTGGACATAACTCGTCAGCCAATTCCAGTGGTTCCTGCTGCTCATTATATGTGTGGGGGAGTCCGTGCTGGACTCCAGGGAGAGACAAATGTACGGGGCCTGTATGTGGCAGGTGAAGTTGCTTGCACAGGTTTGCATGGAGCAAACCGTCTTGCTAGTAACTCATTGCTTGAAGCTCTAGTTTTTGCACGAAGAGCAGTCCAGCCCTCAATTGATCACATGAAGAGCTCTAGCCTCGACTCCAGTGCTTCAAATTGGTGGTCCAGACCAGTTGTGCCTGTATCACTTGAGAGCAATGTCATCAACAAAATTTTGACAATGACCAGGGAAATAAGAAAAGAAGTGCAATCAATCATGTGGAAGTATGTTGGAATTGTTCGGTCTACGACAAGGCTTGAAGCAGCAGAGCAAAAGATTTGTGATCTAGAGGCTAAATGGGAGGAATACTTATTTCAGCTAGGATGGGAACCCTCAATGGTGGGGCTTGAGGCTTGTGAAATGAGGAACTTTTTCTGTTGTGCAAAGCTAGTGGTGAGCAGTGCCCTTGCTAGGCATGAGAGCCGTGGACTTCACTACACAATTGATTTTCCTCATCTTGAGGAAAGTAAGAGGCTACCTACAGTAATATTCCCTTGTTCATCTGTACGGACTTCGTGGAGTTCACGACAACTACACAAACAGCCAATTTGTTAGGAAGTGCAATTGTCATGCAAATAATTTAAAATGATAGGGTCTCATGATCATCAATGTCTCAAGTTTTGGCCTCCAGAACCGTTTTGGTTGGGGGTTGAAGCATCCGCAATTTAAGCAGCTTCTGGTGAAAGCCGCATCAGGTTGCACCTTTTTACTTTTGGTTTATAATTCCTTTTACCTACTATACTTGTTTACTGATTCTTTGTTTAAATAAAAGAAAGAAAATTTCAGCAGAATTGGTGACATTTACTTTGGCATTATGCCATTGTCACATTATTGATATCAGAAGAGTGTCAAACCTAAGACACATCGTTTGTTCACATATGCTGTATAACTTATAAGTGGGTTCTCCATCTTCTCGACTGAAAAAGATGGCCTGCAGTTTCAGAGAGCTCCTGATGTTTCTTCCTTATAGGGTTAGCTGTTATCAATGTGCCAAATACGAGTAATGCTAGGGCCGTCTGCTGCATTTTTAATTTCGCCTTCTGATGATTGCATTGCTAATGCCTAATGCAAGCAATCCACAACTACAGGGAGTTCTTTCTCAACTTTGCTACGAATCAGGTTAAAACCCAAAGTTGAACTGGAAGAATCCCTTTAAGCTGATGATGATCCACTCATCAGGATGGTATGAAAAAGGGGATGAAATACAAGAATTTCGATGGAAGTTGAGTATTGTTCATTTCAATGAACATGTTTTTGCTCTCTTTTTGAAGGCAGCAAAAACAGAAAAACTGGTTGAAAACTATTTACATCCAGTTAATACTTTTTCTCGAGCAAAAGAAACAAAAAAAACCCGCTGGGATCAAATTAAAAGCATATTACTTAGTGGCAATTACATTATAATCCTGCCCAAAATGTTATGTTTAAAGCATAACCCACAAAATCTACAGAGGATTAATATGTGCTAATTATGTTTACCGAAGCAGAATCTACAGAAGATTTACAATTTTACATTACTATTTTATTTTCTCCAGGGAAAATTGCATTATCCATTCACATGTGAATAGATGCGGTGGACCATGATGTCATGTTCTCTATCGTTTTTCCTGAAACCAATTTCACTATTTCTGTACATACATACTTTTGTGCCAATTGAATTTAACCCCAAATTATGTTCTGATAATTTGCTAAGCCTACCATGGATCTTGCCAGGCTACTTTGTGCACTTGGGCTTTTAGTTTTGGTTCTGCCTGAGCAACTGAAGGCAGTGAATGTTGGGGCTGATGGCGGTTCTAGGAGTTGTGGGTTTCCAGCAATATATAACTTTGGGGACTCAAACTCTGATACAGGGGCAATCTCAGCAGCCATATCTGAAGTTCCTCCTCCAAATGGTGAAAGCTTCTTTGGACATCCTTCTGGCCGCTTTTCTGATGGTCGTCTCATTATAGATTTCATAGGTAAGCAACTTCTCTATTTGTCATGTCACACTCTACATGACTCTTTTCCACTCGGCTATATCGGGCAAATAATAGATGACCTATTATTTCTTATTTGGTTTTAAACTTCGTGCAGCTGAGAAATTGCAGTTACCACACCTCAGTCCATACCTGGACTCACTTGGGACCAATTTCAGGCATGGTGCAAATTTTGCAACTGGTGGTTCATCTATTAGGCCGGGTGGCTACAGCCCATTTCATCTTGGCATTCAACTTTCCCAGTTCATAAGATTCAAGTCTCACAGCATTGCTCTCTATAAACAACTTAATTCAAACAGTTAGTCTTCTCTCCTTCCCACTACAGCAAATTTTGATCACTTCATGTCTCATTCCATTCAATATATATATTGGCACCAGGAAGACTTCCTAGGCCAGAGGACTTCTCGAAAGCTCTGTACACATTTGATATTGGTCAGAATGATCTTGCCTACAGTCTTCAACACGGGACGGTAGAAGAAGTTAGAGCCTCCATTCCTGCAATCCTGAGCCAATTGTCCCAAGCAATCTCTGTATGTATGCATCAGCATTATTAACTTAGTTGGACCTTGGACGTGACCGAAACATAGACATGTACTGATTTATATGTGCCATATGTTTCAGCAACTATACAAGGAAGGAGCAAGGTTTTTTTGGGTGCATAACACAGGCCCACATGGGTGCTTGCCCTATAGTGTCATCTATGATCAATCAAAGCCTGTCAATCTGGACCAGAGTGGCTGTGTGAAGCCTCTGAATGAGGTGGCTCAGGAGTTCAATCGGCAGCATGGGTGCTTGCCCTACAGTGTCATCTATGATCAATCAAAGCCTGTCAATCTGGACCAGAGTGGCTGTGTGAAGCCTCTGAATGAGGTGGCTCAGGAGTTCAATCGGCAACTTAAGGACAGCGTATCACGGTTAAGATCAGAGCTCCCTCTTGCAGTATTTACATACGTCGATGTGTATTCAGCTAAATATGCACTGATTAGCAATGCAAAAAGTCAAGGTAACTTCAGTTACCATTATCAAACATGTGATGGTGATTCAAGAATCATTTATGTCCTAATATTTCTGCGTATGGTGATGACAGGTTTTGTTGATCCATTTGACTTCTGCTGTGGCAGTTACTATGGCTACCATGTTGACTGTGGAAAGAAAGCCATAGTGAATGGAACCGTCTATGGTAATCCTTGTAAAAATCCATCAAGGCATATTAGTTGGGACGGCATACACTACTCTCAGGCAGCGAACCTGTTGATTGCTGAGCGCATTCTCAATGGCTCATTCTCCAACCCACCAGTTTCAGTCACAGAGGCTTGTCGTCTCTCCAAGAATGTATGAACACCATGCCATGAGTCGATAACCACGGTTTGTTTGATTAAAACCATTAGATGTGTACACTTTTGGCATTAGTGAGGGTTTGTTTTAGCCTTTTAAGTGATTTGTCCACTAGGAAACTTTAGATCAGAAGTACTTTTGAAAAAAGTGGAAGAGCAAGTGAGCCACCCATAAATACCCTCCATTAATTTCAGATGTTCATTCACCTCAAAGACAATTGCTGCCCAACTACTCGATAAGCTATGACTTTTGAGGCTTCGAAGACAAATAAGCCATTTTAGTTACTCTGAAAGCACACACATACATGTAGTAAGAAGCAATTGAAGTTGTCTAACAGGCATTTTGGTGCACCAACAGAAGAAAATGATGCTCCACCAATTCTTTATTGAGTATTAACATTGAGACATACAAAGAAGAATCTGACAAAGGAATTTTATCACGTCTAGAAACAATTGAAGCAATAATAAGCAAACCTTTTTCTTTTGACACTTACAAATATTGGAATTATTAAACTCATACCAGAATCTCTTTCCTGCTGTCATTTACTTATTCTTTAAAAATTTCCACGACCACCTAACAATCGCAAACCAAATAAACCTCTACTAGGACATCCTTTACATATACGAGCCTATATACTTGATTGCATCATAATACCTCAATGATGCCATTTTCAATGATTCTGGAGTTGGCAGTGTCAAGAAGTGTCTCTAATGATCTGGGTTTCCTGCTCCGAACCCTGCCTGCTTCTTTCAACAACTCAGCCAACCTCCGCTTCTCATCGGCCACATCAGGATTTGCTGTTCCAAGTTTCTCTTCTCTCATGCCAACAACATATTCCAGAATTTCAATGGCATCATCCAATCTGTGTTGGTTACAAAAGAGACATTAAAGACTTAAAGCATTAGAAAAAAAGAAAAGAAAAAAAGAAAGAAGAAGAAGCTTAAAGCATGCTATATACTTTAAACCTCATTGCAGGGTGAGAAACCTTATAGCATAAGATACTAAAAAACACAGCAAAAGATTGAAAAAGTGAATGCCAGAACAAGGAAGAGCATAGTACCTTCCCATTGCATCATATGTGCCAGCCAAATTACTATACACCCCTAATGTATCAGGGTGATATGGCCCATACTCCTTTTCTAAGATGTTCCGTGCTTCTTCAAACAGGTCTGCAGCCTCATTTATTGAATAACGCTGAACACAGACTAGACCCATTTGGTTGAGAGCAATACCAAACAAGGCAGATTTCTTCTCTCCAGTGGCCCTAAACTTTGATATGGAACTCTTGAAGGTGTCATAAGAATCAGAATAATTTCCCATCATATAGTACATGACCCCCATCTGAGCCTCAATTCCTGCAGTTGTGCTTTGGTGGCCAGGGGCGTCACCAAAGATTTTCAAAGCCTTCTTGAGTAACTTCAGGGCTTGCTCCAAATCATTCATAGATTGATAGATAGCAGAAACATCAATAAGACCACTAGCAATCTCTTCTGAGGGGGTGCCAGGATTGGGCTTCCCATAAATTCGATGTGCATTTTCACAGTACGACTTTGATTCCTTAAACTTTCCTATCTTGTTGTATAGATCAGCTAAACGAACATAAACAGAAGCTACTGCTGGATGACTCTCTCCTTTAGTTGTCTTAAACACAGTAAGTGCTTTCTGGTAAGAAAACACTGCCTCATCATACCGAGCCAAGGATAGGTAAGCGTCTCCAATGCTGCAATCAATTGAAGCAGCATCTACTTCCTGGTCATTGGCAGACATGGACATGCCTGCTAAAACATAATGCTCAAGAGCAGCTTCATAGTCTCCTTTTGAGTCACAAATAAGTCCCATGAGTCTTCTATCTGCTGCTTCTTCAAGGGAAGCAGGGGAACCATTCTCCCTGTGAATTTCAAGAGCCATCTGGCAGAGCTTCTCGGCCTCATCGAATTGCAATGCTTGAACATGGGCCTCTGCTACATATCGACATGTCTCACCAAGACGAGGGTCTGTTTCTCCCAGGACTTGCCTTTGTATTTCCATACCTGCTGTATAGAACAGTATTGAATTCTCAATCTGACCAGTCATTGCATAAATATCACCTAATTGCATGCACCCTGCAAACTTGGCTAGTGCATGGTCTTGGCCATCCTCTATAGCTGGAATATCAATGGCACGCTCAAGAACTGGAATTGCCTCATTATACTGGCCTAAGCTGCAATAGATTGCTGCCAAAACATGCAAACACATGACCAACTCTAAACTGGGTTTCTCCTTTGTACACTTCTCAAACGATTTCACTGCCCGAAGAGCTAACTCAAGCGCTTTCTGGGGATTTTCACCAGAACCAATCAAATCCCTTGCTTGTTTAAGCAAGAACGGGCCAAGGTCAGGGTTATCCAATCTCGCCTCAAGAGGATCCTCGACTCCATTCTGAAACCTGACCCCATGTAAAGCAAAACTTCTCTGCTTGTTCTTTGAGAATACTGCATTGGATTTTTTCGGATTCATCTCATACCTCTTATCAAGCGGAGGCTTATCATGTGGAGAATTGCTCTTAGGACTTGATTTTGCAGACGGTGTCTTTACCCTCGTTGTTGGGGACTTTTTAGCAGCAGACACAATTGCTTTCTCAGGTGTTGAGTCACTACCAGTACCCGCCTCTTTAGTTTCTAACACAACCTTTTTTCGTATCTCCAAATGCTCATGAACATATCCAACAAGATGGTTCAATTCGGAATCGATCCTCGACTCCGCACCAAATGATCCAAAGCTAGCCCTGGATGGAGATTGATCAGAGCTCTGCATCTCACAGACATTGTGATACAACTGCTCAATAGAGGTGTCAATCCCACCATCCATAGCCAGACCAATGGAGCCACTTTGAGGACTTTGAGGACTTTGAGGACTCAATGGACTTCTTGGAGAGCCTTGCTGACTATAGCTTTCCTTTTGAGGCGCATAGTCTCCATTGGGTTCATCTACTTCACTGTTCCCATTCGGTGCATCCATAGCCAATCCAGGCATTGCTTTGTGCTTGCTCTGGAGTACGAACAAATGGAATCAGAGCAAAACCAATTAATCAAATAAAAAAAGTACTTGTGACCAAGTCATTGACTTGGGAAATTCATCATAAGCTTGGGGAAAAAATATTTGTTGGCACATATATATAATCCAAAAAGTCAACGAAATAAACATTACAATCCCAAAAATGTTTTCATATCAGAAAAAGATAACCCAGAAGAGAATGGAATTCAATAGCTATGGTTGTCTCCACTTAATACATAAACGACAAAAAAAAATCAGAACCTGTCAAGCAGACACAGAAACCAAACACTAACAACAAAGACAAATAAAGAGGCAATGCCAATAAGGAAAAAGCTCGAAGCTTTAGCAGCAATAAATACAGAAAATAGATAGAAACAATAAATGAGTGTTACTTGAATATTATTGTGAGAGAAGCGAAGCTGAGAGAATGACAAAGCTTGAGGCGCCTCTGTGGGTGTCATGTAACAGATAGACACACAGACGAGCTGATGATGTGTCTCTGTTTTCTTAAATATATATACAAGTTTGAGGGGTAGAAGAAGACAAAGAGGCAGAGAGACAATGGAAGAACGGTGAGGGGCAAATTGGGTAATTGAGAAATAAATATATACAGATAATATATATAAGTGTATATTTAGTCTTAGGTGTGGGGTTGCAGAAGAGTTGGAATGTTGAAGCAATGAGGAAGGCGACCTCCCTCCCACTCTTCTCTCTCTCTCTCTCTCTCTCCGTGATTTTCATTATTAATGAATTTTTAAAAAAATTAATTTTGATTTTTTCGCTGTGACGTCGCAAGTTGGCGGGATTAACGGCTTTTCAACGCCAAAAGGCGCTGGAAATGTTCGGATGACAGAGCTGTTTGTTACGGGAATATGAAACTTTAATCTCACTTTAACACGTGGCATGAGTTAAAAGGAAGAAGCCTCGGCTTTTGTGGACTGTGATTTAATGATTGGTCGGCTGTTTGTACGATTCCACGTGGATCACGCCCAGCTGGATTCGGCTGGTCGCGAGTTTCGGCCTTCGATGATAATTTGATAATGGGCTATCAGCCAACTGGACTTTGTGGGCCCAAACATGTTCAAATTGGAAAGTTAGCACACCCACTATATTTTTCAAGTCGGCTCACCTTTCTAATTCCTTCCTCCTTGGTTATTAGTAATGCATGAGTATTAGAATGATTTCAATTCCTTACTTTCTTTGCTTCTATTTATACAAAATGAAAAACAATGAGAGGTCCATATTAAAATCCGTAATCAGATACACTCAAAATTAGAAATTATATCAACTAGGAGAGTAGTTGATCCAATTTCTATTCCTTATTCTCTTATTCTTAAGTTCCTCAATTCATGAGTTCTCCCATTCCTTATAAGTAAACATGCCATGAAAGTGAAAATTGTTGACGAATGGGATAGCAAGGCTTTTTAAAAATAAAATAAAATAGATAAACACTATGTTACAAAGGATACTGCTTGTATCCTTACTTGGAAGGAGATACTCATCCTTACTGCAAATCACATTTTGACACATGTGTAAAAATAAATTCATCAAAAACACTAAAAAATAAAACTTTACACACATGTCAAACTATTCTTGACAGAAATGTAGAAGTTCCTACTTACAGAAAAGGCAACAAGCAGTGGCGGATCCAGGATTATGTGGCCAAGGGGTCACAGTGTAAAAGCTCCGAATTTTTTTTACAAAGGAAATAATACTAAAAAGATAGAAAGATAGTTGTGATGGAGGTTGGGAAGTTAGGGTTTGAGAGGCTGGGAAGAGAAGAAGTGAAATTGGGATTTCCCCCCCCCCCCCCCCCCCCCCCCAAAAAACCTAGTTCAAAACGACATCGTTTTGAGACCAGGTCAATTAAAAAAAAATTGATTGAGCCTTGGACCAAACGACGTCGTTTGGCAAGGCTCGTTTTAAAAAAATAGAAGGCAGCGCGCGCGCACAAGGCGCGGCGCAGCCCAGCAGATGGCTTGGGACTTTCTCTTATTATAAAGTTCCTCAATTTATGAGTTCCCCCATTTCTTGTAAGTAAACATGCCATGAAAGTGAAAATTGTTGGCGAGTGGGATAGCAAGGCTTTTTAAAAATAAAATAAGTTTTATAAACACTATGTTACAAAGCATACTGCTTGTATCCTTACTTAAAAGGAGATACTCATCCTTCTTGCAAATCACATTTTGACACATGTGCAAAAATAATTCATCAAAAACACTAAAAAATTATAACTTTACACACATGTCAAATTGCTATTGATAGAAATGTAGAAGTTCCTACTTATAGGAAATGCGACAAGTATTTTCCTATTACGAGAAACAAAATAACAAAATATTGTAGAAAATTTGAGTAACATGTGACTCGTTAAACTACACCCTAAAATACGTGAATGTATTTTGCAGAACTACTCTCAAAAGAAAAGAACAGAAATTTGCATAAATACCAACCTTTAAGCATATGCGCCACGAAACTTCATACAAGTTCAGGTGATATTTATGTAAATTTTCCAAGAAATGAATAATCAAAGTGATAACGAGCCTCAAATCCCGATGATTATGGGCAAAATAAGACACCCTTTTGGTTCACTTGAATTAAGGAAATGATCCTCTTATGTAGGGTCATGGCAGACAAAATCAAATGATTTGATGTTGTTGGAGACATCTACTGCTATACTATTCCTTCACAATATCTGATTTGGTGTTGTGATGGTCAAATGCCAACGGCACCTACTAATAATATGTCCACGGGTTGATCTAACTATAACAACATTAACCACCAAAATGAATGATTTTCAAGAAAACGGTAAACAAATAATGTTTTTTTTCCCCTTTATATTTACTTCATAAAATATAAAATGAATGATTCTGCTTGGCCTAAATGTTTTTTTTTTTTTTCATCATAAAAAAAAAGGGTTGAAATGAAGTTGAGTAGGTGAGGCACCAATTCCATGATAGGGAATCTAAAGTTGATGCAGCAACAAACAAGTTTATTATATTTATATAAGTGATTAATAAACTAATTAAGTTGGAGCTATCTCATCTTCTTCAACAGCAACAACAAGGACAAACGCCGACCTGAGACCAGTTGTTTGGACCTTAAGACTTATGGGCCTTCTTTCTACCCCCCGTTGGGTTTTTTTAATGATATTTTTGTCTATTTTTTGTAAATTTTTTTTATAAAGGTTGCTTTCAGAAAAATATGTGAAGAGAAAAGTATTTATTTTGCAAAATCATTTAAAGATAAAGAGTATGAAGCTGGGTTTTGTTCTTCTCACCAAGATAGCCCTGGCTGGATGGCCCTGCAATTTTTTTTTAAAGGTGCACGTGTGCAAGAGCATTCATTCTTTGGTTGTCAATGTCATCAGGATGAAGAAGAAGAAGAAAGAAAAAGCATCATATTTTAGCTTTAGCTCTCCTTTTTGCTTGGAGTTTGACTTTGTTCTGAAATCAAGTGGACACATTATTATGGATCACATAATTGCCCAATAAAGGTAGCTTGGTCCATGTCATGATTGGCTCATGATATATCTTCTATGACCACCTCAACGAGAAATTATAGAATAAGCCTATATTACCGTATCAGTTTGTGATATTTTCATTCAAAATTTGTCATTTATTATTTTTAAAAACAAAGAAAAACAGAGAACCACCCACCCCCACTATTCTTTTGCCCGCAACTATTTTGCACCGTGAATTTTATGAAAAAAAAGAAGGTTATTCTCTAATCCGAATGTTCAAACGGATGCCATTGTAAATATGAGGAAAGCATGAAGGAGTAATAGAAAATATATAGCATCCATATGATAATAACGTCTGCTCACATAGGAGAATTTATGATATATGTAACATCAATATGTTAAATTTATGCAGAGAAAGTTTTATGTACTAGAAAATGAAAATGTAAACGTATACATACGTAACCGTTGATGAAAAACCTTCACATATATAATTTTCTGACCACATGAAAATTAAGTATGCCCTTAAATTTGTCTAAAAACATATATAAGATGCTCAAATTTTGTTCTTGTCTTGAGTAATGCCAAAGCATTTGCTTGTCAATACCATCACAGAACATGACATGAACTTTTCACTCTCCAATTACAGGCCATTTAAAGATGGCAGTGGCAGGCAGCTGTAAAGAATCAGTGAATTCGGGTCATTTCATTTCGCGGCAAAAAGCAGAGGCCAGGCCAGGCCGGTAGATTTATATACATCTCCATTAATACTTTCTTTTGCCTGAGTTTTTTGGTTTGACATTCGAAACAGAAGAGAGAGAGAGAGAGAGAGACGTACCAGAAATACATGTGAGTGAGTGATGATAATATTGGTCAAGGAAGCATGCAGTGGTGCCATATTGCATGGCAGTGGTGGACCAGACCGAATCAAGAAATTAGCTTTCTCTGTAAAACTTTGCTTTTGGTTTTGGAATATCTTCAAAGCTCGAATGAATTAAGAATCTACAAGGGGCCCTTTCTGGTCAAAAGAAAGTCCTACTGACATTCCCCCATCCCATGCCCTGTTTTTTTCTAAAGTCAAAATCCTCTGTCTCTGTCTCTCAGACTCTCTGTCCTCATGCATTGGTTCTGTACTACGCATATAAAATAAGCTTAGCCTTAGCCATACATAACATAACCAAGAACATAAGCACAAAAATCAATTTATTTGTTTTGTTTTGTTTTGGTTACAATAAAGATGAGATCAGATTGCGCATATAAGAAGATTACCTTACCTTACCCAGGTTGAAACCCTTTTTATCTGCAACTAGCTCCACCACCATGAACATTGAAACCTTTGCCGAAAGTTAAAAAGATTTAACCTTTACTTTCGTAACTTTTATCTGCTACCTTAGCTTTCGGGCGTTTGCCTTATCAGCCATCATGCTTTATATCCCAGGACAGGAAAAAGTTTCATTCACATCCATCATTAACGACTAAGTATGCGTACAGTTTCTCATTTCTGATATGCATGTATCAAATCAATACACTTAAAAATCTTTGACTCGAATATATATACATGTATCAAATCAAAGATGATATGAGATTGAAAAAAATAGAAAAGGTTCATCTCATCTGATTGATATTTGATGCTGCATGGGACTCATAATATATCCTTGTGATCAGAAATAATGGAATTCATGAAATATATAGCAACCTTTTCCACTGTTTATTAGTTCAATGATGTGATGGTTGAAGGCATAAACAAACCACATTTGTAGGCTAATGTAGTACTGTTCATCCTATTACAAAGAGAGGAACCAAATGGGCAATGCTACATAAATTATATGCTTTTGGTGCAGATGGAAGTCATTCTGAAAGAGAGATGACGGGAGAGCAGGTAGCTATGCAGGAGAGAAATATTCTGGTTGAATGAATGGTGGGCCCCAAGCTTTTGGATCACAACGAATGTTCTTAGTTATAGGATGGTAAAACCAGAACTTAGTAGTATTATAGTGTGGGACAAACCAGAGTTCTACAAAATCCAAAACAAAAGGATAACAACATTAATTGCTTTATTTTTCTTCAAGGAATTACATATCATCAATCTCTCTCTAGATGCTTACACTCCCACTCAGAAGCTATTCTCTTCATCCTATGGTAGACTGCTATAAATACCTTCCATTCCCTCTGCCTTTCCCTTCAAGTCTTGTTCAGCTTCCTTAATTAATTGCCTTTTTGTTTGAGTAGTAGTCTTTCAACCATCATGGACTACAGAGTTGAGTCTTCAGAAACTCTGAGGTACTTGACTCTCTCTCTCTCCATATCAATCTTCTATGCATCATGCATGATACTAGTTGTTTAACTAATGACAATATATACATGTTTTTGTGACTTTTAATGATCAGGAACAAGTGTGCAGCATGCTACAGACAATTCAACAAAATCGAGCACTTAGTGGAGCACATGAGAACCTCATATCACTCAGCTCATGAACCCACATGTGGAATCTGTAAGAAACATTGCAGATCCTTTGAATCTCTCAGGGAACATCTTATAGGTAATCAAACCAATTAATCAATCAATTCTACTCTTGCACGTAAACACACACACACATATAAATATATATATATATATTATATTCTTTAATACTCCCAGAATTCTTTTAATTTCTAGTTAATAGTATGTATGTATTGGTTTTTGTTCAGGGCCATTGCCAAAACAAGAATGCAGGAATATATTCAGCACCAGAGGATGCAAATTCTGCTTAGCTATCCTTGACAGCCCTTATGCTCTCAGGGTTCACCAGGACAGATGCCAACTCTCTGGTGTAAATGCTGTAATAATCCTAAATTAACACACCAACTTAATTATGAATTTTATTTATTTATTTCTTTCAATGCAAATTAGCTCAATTCTTAATATTATTCATACATGCAGGGCCTACTTGGTCGCTTTGCTAATTTGGGCATTCGTGACAATACTGAAAATGGTAGCACAAGAGGCACCCAAGTTGTTGCACTTGCTTGTAAAATGGTTGGTGGGGGCAGTGATGGCTCCCTGGATCTGTGCGCAAAGGTCTGCCTCATCGACGAATACGAAAACATCATCTTCCAGTCTTATGTCAAGCCACTACTTCCGGTCACAAACTATAGGTAGCTATATTATATGGAAAAGATGATATGTAGGTAGAGAGCTTCTTCTAGTATATACTAACTATAGTACATACATATACGTGTGTATATGCATATAGGTATGAAACAACTGGCATTCGTCCTGAATACTTAAGGGATGCAATGCCTCTGAGGCAAGTGCAAAAGAAGATTCAAGACTTCCTCTGCAATGGGGAACCAATGTGGAAGATTCGACCTAGAGGCGGAAAAGCTAGGATTCTTGTGGGGCATGGTTTGGATCATGATCTTGACTCTTTGCAGGTAGAATATCCACAAGTAATGATCAGGTAATTTTCATTTTCTTCTATCCTACCAAAATTAATTGCAAGATAAGCACAAAATTACTTGTGTTACTAATCATCCCATATGTTGTCTTAGTATCGCAAGAGATGATTGGATCATATATAATTTTAGATCGAGCCCAAAACTTGGGAAACATCATATATGTAGAACTAGAGATGATTGGATCATATATAATTTTAGATCGAGCCCAAAACTTGGGAAACATCATATATGTAGAACTTTCCATTAGTAATTTCAAATGTATGTGACTATATGTAGGGATACTGCAAAATACCCTCCATTGATGAAAACAAGCAAGCTCAGCAACTCACTCAAGTATCTAACACAAGCATATCTTGGGCAAGTACCCTACTATATCAATTTCCTTAGCTTTCGTCTATCTCAAATTCCAAATATAAACCTAGCTAGCTAAGTGAGTACTAATGGAACTTCTACATATTTACAGGTATGACATTCAAACTGGCATTCAAGACCCTTATGAGGATTGTGTTGCAACAATGAAGCTCTACATGAGAATGAGGTCCCAAGTTCATAAGATAGAGGCTTACCCACTAGCTTCTGACCCACAAAACAGGAACAACTTTGCATCATGGCGCCAAAATGAGCTCGAGAGGATGAGCCCAGAACAAATGCTGGAAGCCTCAAGGTCTGATTACTATTGTTGGTGTCTGGACTCCAGGGATATGTAGTGCCTGAAAGTGAAAGGAGGCTATATAAAAATATTAAGGAGATTGGTAGATGATCTTACAAGCTAGCTGTTTTTACCTACGTATAAATAATTAATGTTCAGAAATAACTTCAAGATCGATGGAAATATATATGTTATATTATTTCCATTTGATCGTATTTAGTCACATCTTGTTCACCAAATTCTTGGACTACGCGTGAATTTATATATATAATGCTTAGAATTTTTATCCAAGTACAAGTATAGTTCATTAGGTCAAGTGGTGCATATATTTATACTTACCTTAAACTTTGAGGTTATTTTAGAGCTCTATAATTTTTCCAATTTATGTATTTTCATTATTAAAAAAAATAAACTAACTATTTAAATTCCGAGTTAACAAAAAGGAAATTTTTAAACATTATAATTTTCCCTTCTCATTATAATTAGATAATTTTTTTTCAATAAATGAAAAGGCAAAGGGGCAAGGAGCAACAGCAGCAACAATAACCATAATCTCACGGATTAATGTTTTGTTATTTATTTTTGGTTTGATCACAGATCAATGTCTAGCAAAAGAAATATATAATAGAGAATTTTATACAGGTCATGATCCCAAAATAAACAAACGAACCCACTACATAAAGTGGAGAGGGGGAGAGAGAGAGAGAGAGAGGGCTAGCTCACAGGTGAAGGAAAATCAGTGGCTATGAGAAGCCCAAGGTACACCCTCAACAGCCTAATTAAGGTCTGCACCTGCAGGCTGGCTGCAGCAAGTGATGATGATGATCACCGACAACCTTGTTCAGCAAACCATGTTTCAAATTTGTCCTACTCTTAGTATACCCAGAAAAACCCTTATTAAAGCTAGAGAGTACTTAAGGAAACAGTGGAAGCCGTGGCCTGCAGCCATGGAAGGATATGTCCAAGAACCTAGTTGAAGTTGAGGGTTTTTTTATAAGATTCCAAAAGAACGAGATGGTGTTCCTGTTTCTTGTTAGTAGTCTTTACTCGTTGTGTTAAAGTGATTGACAGGTGTCGAAATATAATTGGGTGGGGAGACTTAGGTGGAATGCTTACCTTGGCATACCCGTGCCAGTCAAGTTTTTCTCGTGATGGAGAGAGGCTGAAAGGGCAGTCATAAGAGCGAATCCAGCGGCCCCGGGCAAGGGGGGGCCTAGGCCCAAAAAGGGCTTCCAGCGGACAAATGCTGTCAGGGCTGTTGGTGGGCTCCACAAGCTTGGGCTGACCCTCATGCAAAACTGGCCCTTGCTCTAGCTTGGGTTTGCTAACATCAGCAACAATTTTATTTATTTATTTATTTTTTAAACTAAAATTTTCAGAATTTTTTTAAAATAAATACTTAGTCATATTTTTCACTTCCCACACCAAAATTCTATACAAATTCTTCTACTCATGTCTCATGTGAATAGTAGTTGTCATGGCAATGGGTGAAAACACCACAAGGCTTTTGCAATGACTACCACTATTCACATGAATAGTAATAGCCCTTGCCTCCCTTTGCCCTTTGACATGGCAAATGAGCGGAAGTGCTCAAAGAGAGAGATGAAGTTTGGATTGACCGGAAAGAGCAAAAATCGGTGCCACGTCATTTCCATTATTTCTTTCTTGTAAGTTTCATTGTATTGGCCAATACAATAACTTTAGATAATAAAATAATGTCAGACAAAACAAGGGAGAAAGATCACTTGTGATGCCACGTATGTCGGCATCCATATTCTTATTATAGTGTGCAACAATAGGAAAAATACTTCATGCCCCGGTGCCAACCCTCTTTCTATCTCTATAGATCACATGTCACATAAAGAGAGAGATATAAAGATAGACTGTGGCACTGAGACAAAGAAGTTTCTTCCAAAACAAAAAGGCATACAAATTACAAACTCCAACTTATATTATGTACAACATGAAATCTTGCATTCCCTTACTACATACAAGAAGCTAGTAATTAAACCAAGATCAAGCATACATATATTAATTATATGAGACAGAAACTCTAAATGATCTCAGCTCAAGGGATTGGATGCACAACCACCTTTCCAGTAGCCCTGGAAGTTTGAAGGTAGGCTAATGCTTCAAGGGTCTTAGAAAATGGATATGGGCCTGTGGGATCAATAACTGGTTTCACCTTCCCACTCTCCAAGTAAGGCTTGAGTTTCTCCAAAATGGACCCAGTTGAGGTGAGCACAAACATGGAGGCTGGTGGTGTTATTGGACCTGTTAATGTCACAACCCTTCCCCCTTCTTTAACCGCCTTCACTCCCTTATCCGACTGACCTGTTTATTTTTTGTTCATTTCAAAATTATTTCCCTTTCATTTCACATAATTAGTAAACAAACAGAAATGAAGAATAAAGAATAATTCTTAATTAATTACCAACTGCATCATACACCACATCAAATTTCTCGGGCAGGTCTTCCACGTTTTCCTTAGTGTAGTCAATAGCCAAATCAGCACCCAAGCTTCTCAGCAAATCAAGTTTTTTAGTGCTCGCAGTGGCTGCCACTCTGGAGGCACCAAAAACATGCTTTGCTAGCTGCCACAAAATTAACACAAACATTAACCTTAAAACAACCAAAACGTATGGGAGGATTGTCTGAGGTAAGCTAGAAGAATAAGAACAAAAATGAGCATTATGTACCTGAATAACATGAGTTCCACAACCCCCAGCGCCTCCCAAAACAAGAATGGACTGGCCAGCAGAAAGCCCAACTCGTTTCAGCCCTTCATAGGCTGTCTCAATAGCCGCTGGAAGGCTAGCAGCTTCCACAAAGCTCAGGTTTTGGGTTTCAGAGCCAACAATCTTTCTTCTGCAGCAGTGTACTCTGCCAAAGTCCCAAACTTCTTCAGGTTTATGCTACTCTCCTCATTGATATCTCCATACACTTCATCCCCAATGTTAAATTTGCTGGCTTTGCTTCCCAACTTCACCACCACACCAGCCACATCATACCCTGGAACTGTCTGCAAACAAATCAGATTCATAAATTCATTATGATAAGTTTTTAGTTAGTTAACGATTTAATTATGGAAAAATGAAAAGAGAAAAATGAAAAGGGGGCAGCTGAGTTGAGTGAGCTCACAGGCAGAGCAGTGTCAGTGGCCCTGAAAACGCCAAGGATCCTCTTGGCATCAATTGGGTTAAGGGCTGCAGCAACAACCTTGATCAGCACCTGGTCTTCCTTTATTTGAGGAACAGCCACATTTGTTTCAAACTTCAGAACATGTGCAGTTTCTCCATGTTCTCTGTAAATCCAAGCCTTGTTTACGGAGGGTGGTGCGGATACACACGAAGCCTCAGCCATGTTGGATGTACAAGAAAGAAACTTTGGTTGTGGTAGAACAAGAAAGGAACTTAATAGAAACCCCTTAAAAAAAACCAGAGCCTGATTTTTAGAAAGCCAGAGAATGAGATGGGATTGTCTGTTCTGTTCTCTCTGTTTGTGCAATCTGTTTTGATGGAAAATGGGTATTTATATCTGTTTCAAGTTTGAACTTTCATTCAATCATGTCTGCATAGTTTGACTCGTCGCCGCTGTAAAGACGAACACAAATTGCTAATTGGTTCGTTCATCCAGTAACATACAGATAATAACGTAAGCTGTGACAATTTACTGGTTTTGTTTTGATAGTGTATGGGGTCACAATTTCTGGCACGATTCGAAATCCGCACGGAAAATATTCGCACGAATAAATTTTCGAGTCAACCCACTATGATCCGTTTAACAAATAAGTGGGTTTCGAGTCAACCCGCTAACCCACTAAAATACCTATATAATATGCTTATGAAAGGATTCTACCCACAAACTCGCTAAAATATGTAACTTGCCAACCAGTTTGTTTGTTTCTTCTTCATTTTCTTCATTTTTTTTAAATTTTAAAAAAAATTTAAAACCCTTTTTCTCAATCTTCTTCATACATAGAGAGAGGCAAAATATAATCAGTATTTTATATATAAATTTTTTTAAAAAATGCAATTACTTGTTAAATTATCAAAATTCTTTGAATAGTCATTTCTTTCTCTACTTTTTTTTTTGGTCTACATTTTTATCTCTCTACTTACTAGTTTACCACTTAGAGCATCTCCAAGGGAGATGTCAAATGCAAAATGTTAAATTTGAATTTTTGCTATTTCATATACATGTGACAATTTGATATATTGGTTGGAAATGTTCTTAGGGGATCAACTCGAAACTCACACGGAAAATTAGCAAGTCAATCCAATACGACACGTTTATTAAATTGATCAAACTTAAATTAAGCATTCTTGACATGTATATGATCCTAACACAACACGAATACGAATAAAGTTTGACACTTTGTAAAAATTAATAACGTAAGTGCGGATCACATTTAAGAATAGAGTAAAACAAAGCTGCAACGGGCAGTCAAATTTTGACATTTGCTCTCGTTGCCTTGAAAATCAAAACCCACGCGTGATATGTTGTTTCTATTGGAGCCCTAACATGCATCATTGCTTTGCTACTATATATTTTTATCTCCACTGGATGGGTGACACTTCAACCATAGATGCTGTCATTAATATAGTTACTAAGACAGAAGGTTGTGGCTACCATAGTCGACCGTAGAAGGTTGTGGCTACCATGGTTATTGAAAATGGTGATTTTATAACAAATTAAAGATTAAGAAAGAAAACTAAGACAGAAAGAGGAACAAAAGGGTGGGGTGGGTCCCATCGGCGGGGTGGTGGAAGCATTTAGTCTATCATGTAAATATTATATAGTATATTATTAGTTAAAGGCTTAACTCTTGATTTGCTCCTTGAATCTGTACATAACTTTCAACTTATTCTATATTTTATAAAATTAAGGATATGAACCTTTTTTTTTTTTTGCCAATTTGCCCCTTGACGTCTAAATCCGCAACATTTCATCCAATTTGCTGTTAAATATGAGAGCAAAATTGTCATTTTGTATGTTAAAAATATATAAATACTGAAAAATAAAATGAAAAACTTCAAAAAATTGATATATATATAT